AACATGTACTTGTAGAGAGATATTTTAAAGTGGAAGCCGTACGGCTTCAATAAAGTTTTTATTATGTAAATATAAAATGTTGTTATTAATTATTTATTGTAATTTTAAAAATTTTAAACACAAGTGCCGGTAGTGCATAAATATATATAATGTAATTATTACTTTGTACTACTTAAAAAAAAATTCTCTTATAATTTAAGGTCCAAAATAGAGTTTGGAGATTCATACACAAGTATATACACTTGAACGAGTATATCTACTTAGTATATTTTAATTTACACATACTATTACACTCTTTCATTGTTAAAGCAAACTTTAGCTTCTCATCTAGAACTGGCTGTCGGGTTTTCTTCATAATTTGGCGTGGTGAAATGAAAAATTAAAACACAGAAATTTACATCAGGCAAAAAAATGTAACAAATCCCATACCATGAACAGCTAAGGCAATGGAGTTTTGAGCAATGTCAGCTCTCCTCAATCCAGCTAGGTCAATGAAAGTTTGTCACCCAAAGTGAGGTTTGTATGGTTTTTATATGCAGAAACTGGTTCACTGAAAGCCATATAGTTCTCATGGGTGAGAATGTCAATACATCTTAATATCTTTAAAATTCTTTTATAATTTTACATTTAATCCAGTTTTAACTGAAACAGTTATTATGTACTTGGTTGTATAGTACATAATAGTTCAGTTGTGCTATACAAATCACATCACAACTGAAATGTGTATAGTCATTAACTTTAACAATGTACAATAATAGTAAATAAATTCTTGCAACAATTAAGTGTTTCAACAAAATAAACTTTTTGTTTTTCATATGCCACAAAATTTGTAATACAGATTTAAAATCCAGAAAAGATAAACCAAAAAATCTCAGGATATTTTTCAAGGAAAGTGAAATAGTAACATTATTGTAACTGTAAGAGCTGTATGAAAACTGAAATGGGCGTATGAAAACTAGTATTGTTGAGAGAAGAAGTGGTTGAGTTAGAAAGCCCAAACTTTTCAAAAGTAAAATTAAGTAATTACATAATACTCCGGTAGAGATCTTGCCCATGACCTAGTTGTAACTACAGATGTGAATGTTACTTCCATGGACATCAGCTTTTAAACAACTGGACAAGCAAAGCTGGGAAGAGGGTGCTCTTTCTAGGCGATTTCAAATTTAAATTGTTTGGCAACAATGAACCATAGTTTTCTTGACGGTCAGCGTAAAAAACATTTACAGTAAAGCACACTGAGAGACCAGTACAAGTAACGGTAGCATCTCCGTCAGTGGCATTGGAGATCTATCTACACAAAACTGACAGCACCCTGACTGTTGACGCACATACAATCACATTCTTCTAAATCGTACCATCCCCACAAGAACAACCTATTCGGCAATGATAGATACCTGGTTGAAAGAATACTCGTAACCATGGTTTTCCCTGCTCAATGTTCAGATATGAATATTATTAAGGCAGTATGAGATTATGATGTAACTGCAAAAAGTAAATGGTAACAAAACACCTCAGTTGAATTGTGTACAGTAATACATAACACTTGGAAGATTTCACAATCGTACACTGATAAACTTGCAGCAGTACACAAACAAGGTGTACTAATCCATTTAAAGCAAATATGATGTATCTATGCACTGTATAACTTACAGCACGTATATGTGTAATTATATACTGTTAAATCTATTTATTGAGACTCAACTATCTCTAAAACACTCGTTTATGATAGGCTTTCGTGACTTAACAACCCGCTTTTTACATATTATGTTATGTTTTAATTATCAAACATTGAAACCCTGTGGGTAAGAATACTTTACTGAATTTACCGTTTTGAGCATTCTCTACTCGTTCCTAGAGATTAGATTTATAATTAAAAATTACCTTCAAATATTCTTTTCAGGATAAGGAGCCAAGAGTTAAGAGTGGAAACTGTGAGAATTTAAACAAAGAAAAAAGAAATCTTGTATGATTTGGCTATTTAATTTTTTTAATGATGTTAACTAAACTTGATAAAAAAACAAAAACATTGAGAACTTGAGCAAGTAAAGGAAGAAATTCATTTGTTTTTTTTATGAACACTAAATACCAAAACAGGAAATGCATAAAGCCAAAAGAAAGTTAAGCAAGTTTCGTGTTAATTTTCAACAAATAAACTGAAAACAATTTAAAACTAATCTAGTCTAAAATCTTAATTCTGGGTAATTAACTGGGACACTATAGTCACTTTCAGTAATTGACAAAAAATAAATCTACTAACTTAATAATTTAGAGTTATTAATAAAAAAAAAGAGAACACTAGAAATAAAAATTTATTGTGATAAAACAAGAATTAACACAATTACATAAGTGCCATTATCCATTATATGTTAGAGTTTAATTCTAAAGATTTCAAAAGAGGCTAAATGTACTAAGTTCTAAACAAGTACCTTAACAGACAACAACTTTACCACAAATTAATTTCTCATTTCTGAATAATTTCTATTTTGATTTTACATAACATTAGGAATGTTATTAGTTAAACAATACATCGGATTATAATTGGATAAAAAATAATAAAACATTGAGGAAAATGTCAGCTTATTTAAAAGCACTCTATAAAATATATTAAACTCAAATCTCAAGTAATTGATTAACCATCTAACAGATAAAACTATCTTAAAAATGGCTTCCTGTAACTAATATTAATTTAGCTGATATTTTACAGCTATATATATATAATAAATCTAAATAATCAACTCTATATATATACTTTACATTTTCAAAAATACTTATGAAAAACAACAACACAAAAACAAACACCTGAACACAATTATAACGACAAAAAGTGCAAACAAGTACGGCAGGAACTGTTAATAAAAACAGGGCTCATCACAATTACCACACAGATTAAACAAATTAAAGAACAGATTTTGTTTAAGATTATTCATACATGTCCTATATTTTAGACTGTATAGTCACTAAGGCCAAAAAAAAAAGACTTCTTAATGCAATTTACTTTTCATATTAAAATACAGGTGTGAGAACTTCCAAAGTTTTTTTTTTTTCATATACTAAGTAAACAAACACTGGGCAATACATAATACTTAAAGCAACGTTCTCTTATCTTCATTGGTACACATTTACCTAATCACAAACTTTCAAAAGATGTCTGGACAACGTGAAAACTCTCTCTCCCAGTAACCTCCAGTGTATATCCAATAATTTGTTCTGGTGTATGGATTTTCTTCTTGTTTAAACCACCTAAAATTCAAGATACACAGCATGACACTTTATAAATTCCTCTCTTTAACAATAAATAACTACATGCAATAAGGTAAATTTATCCATTAAAAAAAAATTCACTTTCAATAAATCTTAAGGAAAAACTAATGAAAATGATCCACTTATTAAATCAAAACATTTAACAGAAAATGAAATAAAGTAACAAAATACAGAGGATGTGGGTTTCTAAGTTTATATCCTAACTACGTTTATATGACTATAGATATTGAAATAAGAATACTCTCCTTTTACAAAGGTCAAGTACTTTTCATTTTTAAGTAAAAGTAATCAAAAGATGATTTACTTTGGCTCCCACGTGTTTTGCTTTTGCTTTTTTCTCTGCTTCCTCGCCTCCCGTTGCTTTTCTTCTATTCTATTTTTTTCATACGCAGCACCATCTAGGGTGAAAATAACTTCCTTAACACTATCATTCATGCAACACAAGTATTAAGAGAAAAATAAATCACTAAATCAACATCATTATGAATCATACAAATTAAGATTATAGGAAAAACCAGTTCTGCAGATCATGTATCTGAGGAAAGTTAAATAAATAAAATACTAAGAACTGGTCAAAGTATTAACGAGTTTTAAAGATCATTACAGTTATCATGGAACAGATAAAAGTTAAGTATCACAGATTAAAAATAAGGGATTGAATACAACTGTTTAAATGCCCAAACATGTACTAACAATATATGTAATGCAAGTCCAGAACAAGAAAGCATTTCTTATTTTCACAGGTGTTAACAAGATGCAAAGGCCTTGCACTGACAACTGAAAGAACATCTGGATGAACCTTCCATTGGAAACGTATGAAATTTTAAATACTATTTGGTGCATTCTGTCGAATTTAAGCTACCTAAATTCAGTTTCTTACCATCGGGAAAGATTGCAAAAATGACCAAATTAATTGCACAGATAGCAGTTTTTTTTTGCTTCTTTACCAAATTCATTCAATGAAGTAGGACATGGAGGCTAATTTCAATGCAAAATTAAAAGACATAAACACAAGTCAGACTTCTGACAATAAAAGTTGAAAATGTATAAACAGGTGTATCAAACATCACAACTCAGATATGTCATTAGTGCATTTTTGTTTTGTTAGGTGGCCATGAACTCCCACCTTCAGAAGATAGTCTTTTCAATCAAGTGTCCAGTTAAAATATGCTTTGTATATCTTTCCTCTTACCACATATAACTTAGACAAATGCAACATGGCTGCTACACTGAACATGATCTTTCTAATGATGACACACACTCAATTATGGTAGCTCTATAGATCTATTACACAGTTTTTATGATACTTATGTTTAGGACTTGGTGTTTTGACCGACAGTTTTCAGAAAAATATGCCCTTGAATATTTCTTCGAGGATGAAAATCTGTCTCCAGACAAAAAGTTAACACCTATGTATTTTCCCCTTGAATAGCACCTTATGCAAAACGAGTTAAATAGCCAGATAAAGAACCCAAAGTTTCAAAGTTCCATTCCTAACTTAGAACTGCTGACCAGTTATAA